TTTAATGTCAAAATACAATATTGCCACTATCAAATGTAGACACCCATTTCCTCACAGGGTTGTGCTCTCAGATTTCCAACTTCATATTTAATAATTACCCACGTAAAACATATTTAATTCAACACTTTAAGCGCCACTTGTGCCATATCAAACCGTTCTTCGCCTCCATTACCCCTGCCTGCTTCCGCATCAACGGAGTGAAGGAACAAGAATAAGCAGAAATTAAAGAGAAATATCATATTGCCTAATTTTACCATTAAACTGTTGGAGATTATTTTTCTTTTCTGTCGTCGTTATTGTTAGAATTCTTGTAATATTTATTCTACAAAAATCACTTCTGGCGTAGTGGGCGAATGAAGCAGGGGAGGTAACTCCGCAAGTATTCCCCCCATATGGCGGACATGTGATTCAGCAAGTATATTTAGATTTAAGTGCCCTGTTCCTTCACTCCGTTGAACCGGAAGCTGGCAGGGCTAATGGAGGCGAAGAACGATTGATGTCGCACGAGTGGCTGAAAATCTTGAATTAAATATGTTTTACGTGAGTAATTATTAAATATGAGGTTGGAAATCTGAGAGCACAACCCTGTGAAGAAATGGGTGTCTACATTTGATGGTGGCGATATTTTATTTTGATATTAAAAGTATTTTTCGAACCGAAGCGAGGGAAGTACGTTGTCAACCTTTGCTCGCTTCGCTCGTATATAGGAAGACTGGTAATTTTCTCTTTGTTGCGCAACCCTATTTGCGCTACAGTTTGTCTGTGGTTAAATATACAATGCAGATGGATATATAGGATTGAAAATGTTAACAATATCTGATGGTGCTTATTTACTGATAAGCTTTATCCCTTGTGACAAATAGAAGGGAAAACAAATAGATTTATTATTTACGCTTATAATCTGTGTTTATGAATGTTCGGATGTGGATCCTACTGCAGTTGTGCGAAGCTGTGATGCAGTTATAAATTGTCAAAATGTGCGGATGGTACTAGTGAGTGAGTTAATGTGTGAGTTAATATTTAGCGTCACATTGGCAATATTTCAGCCATATCATGACGAAAACAATTTAATTTATATCAATATTAAAATGAAATAATTTAGAACATAAAAATGCTGTCATCGAAGGTCAGTAAAACTATTAGAATATCATAGAGATTTTTCTGGGTTACATTTTTTTTATTCTAACCAAAAACATCTCTTAGTTCATCAAATAGCATCTTCTAAATTGCCAATCAAGCATCTACTAGAATATCACAGCTCTTAATTTAAAACTAGTGCGCTATCATAAAAAAAATAGATCATCATAGACAGTACAATATAGAAACGGGCTATAGATCGCCAACAACTGAAGGTAGATCACCAGACTAGGGACCATGGGGATGGTACTAGTAAATAGATACTGATTATACTGAGAAGTGACTGGGTATAACACCGCTTTGAACATAATTCCAGGAATATCGGGAAATGTCAGCTTTTGTCAGGAAAGTGATGCTGATCTTAGACATCCGCGGATGTCATGAATCTTACAAAAAACGTGTGTAATGCTGACTGAACTAAAAACACAAGTGTGTGAGTTTAGTTTTACGCCGCATTCAGCAGTCTTCAGCAATATAGCGGCTGTCTGTAAATAATCGAGTCTGGGCCATGCAATCCAGTGATCAACAGCATGAGCTTCGGTCTACGCAACTGCGATACGATGACATGTGTCAACCAAGTCAGCGAGCCTGGCCACCCGATCCCGTTAGTCGCCTCTTACGACCGACATGGGTTACTGAAGATCCATTCAAACCCGGATCTTCACTGGTTTCTTTCATATGACAAAAACGGGCCTGAAAGTAAGAGATGTATTTCGACCTATAGTAGATTATTAATGTGGAGTGTGTTGGGAGTGTGTTGGTTTGATCATATACATTTCGGATGTCTTCGATCGAAAGACAACGTTACCAGCAGATAAATAAAAGACGTAATTCTATCCTTTGCAGTATGTCTACACAAGTGAATGAGTACAAGTCGTTTGATTGTTATACTTTAACATTTGTATTGTTGTTATTCACGTTATTTGGGGCCACACTGCAACTGATGCACATGTTACAAGCGTGCAAATCTGGAGAAACAAACGAATAAGGCCATGGACAGGCAAACCATGCTCAGGGCGTATCCCCGACTCGACACATCGTACTTCGGAACCTTCAGCCTTAAGGAACGCCACTCGACACACCGACTATAGCAGCTTAATGCAAGAGAAAAGCTCTCAACGATATGCATCTACATGCATGTAGCAACTCTCAGCGATGAATTGATTCAAAGCTAAAAGAGAATTCACACCCTCTATGTTGTGAATAATGCGTATTGTAACATGTTCTGTATTTCTATAGTCCTACATCAAAGGGGCCTGATCGATGGCCTCAAGTCTCATGTTGTAGTCAAGAATAGTAATTTCTGTTGCGAAGTAAAACAATTTATAACATAATTAGCGAAAGTGATCTCCTATTACGTTGACGGGTTCCAACATTCAGCATTATCTTTTAAACAATGCTTAATCACCAGCAGAAAAAGTTGCTGACAAAGATGGAACTGAGAGTCCACTGTGATTGCATAAATAATATTCCACTTTTATAGCGCCATTCCAGGATGAATATCTTCCTCAAAGCGCTAAGAAAAAACATAATAGTTCAGGCAAATGCTTGACGGAACAAGAGGGTCTTAAGAGATGGACGGAAAGAAGAGTAGGTTGGAGTAGTACGAAGTTCTGCAGGGAGAATGTTCCACTAATATCCGGCAGAATGGGAAAAAGCTCGTTGTCCATAGCTACACAATTTGACTTTAGGTACAATGAATAGCTGTTGAAATTCTGAGCGGACAGATGGAACATAGGGCTGGAGGAGATCACAGAGATAAGATGGAGCAGTATGAGACTGACACTAATACGCTAGGCAGAGAAGTTTAAAATTGATTTGCTGTTGAACAAGAAGCCAGTGAAGTTCTTTGAGGATCGGGGTGATATGGTCTGATTTTTGGTAGAGTGAAACAAGTCTGGCTCCTTTGCTCTGCTGATGACATTTTTGGAGAGCCGGCGAGGAGGCTGTTTCTATAGTCAATCCTTGAAATTATGATTGAAGGGTTCAATATTTTCATGGCATCCTCAGTCAGGCATGCTCCAATTTTCCCAAAGTTTCTTAGCTGCATGTGACAAGATCGAGGCAACTGGCTAACTTGTTTGTTCAAGTCAAGGTTTGAGTCTATAACTATGCCAAGGTCCTTAACTGCTTGACTGCTTTTCCAACAAGTTTCGAGATGAAAGGAAGAATAGAAACGGGTCTAAAGTTCTTCAGATTTTCCGGGTTTCTTAAGTAGAGGTTTTAAGATGGTACATTTCAGAAATGATGGCATTGAACCAGATGAAATAGAGATATTGATAATTTTGGTGATAACCGGGAGCAAAATATCAAGGTATCGAGAGTACGGTAGGTTTGTTTGGCGTTCTTCATGGTGACGAGTATCCCCTCGTCTGTTGATCTCAGTTTGTGGCATCAAGTTGATCTCGTATCTGTGTCTTCTTTGTGAAATAAAGCGAAATTGACTCTGCGATTTAAATATCACTTACAGTGGAGAGGAGTGATGAATTACTCGTTTTCCCCACAAGTGATGACAGGAGTAAATAGAGCTTTAAGACAGAAGTTCCTGGGTAAAACTTCTGTGACTGCGTTTGTCAGTTGTGTTAAAAGCCTCTTTGAATAGTATTTACCGATGCATGGAATGTTGTCTTGACGCGACAGGACGATCCTAAGTGATGCAAGCGTTAGATGTTTACCCCTTTGACAAAACCCACGAGCCAAGCAACGCATCTGACAAGGACACGATGCAGTTCGATTATTCTTTGAAATCGTTCTCACATTTACATTCAGTCGGATTATGTGTACGGTTTCTGATGTTAAATATTCACGACAACACATTTCAAAGACTGAGTGTCAATATTAATCATTATCTTCGACCGAGTAAAATCTTTTTCGTTTTGAGCACACAATTCCTGAGAAAATCCATGTCCTCTCGCCTTTGGAAAGTACCTAACTAGTACTATAACATTGATCTCTCCATAAATCAATGAAGAGGAGTATAAATTTACCGGGTCAAACGCGTTAGAATTATATTCAATCAAAGCATATAGCACTTTCGTGTTTATAACCATTTTAGTATATAAAATGAAAAACTATTACCTCGTGATTGTATTGTTGATATACTATTCTGTTTTCATTTCACCGTCATGGTTATCACTTCATTGCTTTGTATATTTACATTCCTCCTTCACCTAATTATACATCGTGGGCGTGGGCGTGGGCGTGGGCGTGGGAGTGGTCTATTTCAAAATTAAATGAAGAAACAGCTGTGTTTTCGTTTTGCTGGAATCAGACATTGCACCGAAAAGTATTGACGACTTTTTAAACTTTAAAAGCAGCGTGTTGGACCATTCGGCTTAGCAACGATTCACTTGGTTCGCTGTCTGCCAGCTATGGCTTGTTAGTGTGCGTTCGTTGTTTAACGGTGAACGCCACTTCTTCCACTGAATGGTGGCGGTGGGGTAGTAAGTGGTTAAAGCGTTCGCTCGTCACGCCGAAGACCCGGGTTCGATTCCCTACGTGGGTACAATGTGTGGAGCCCATTTCTGGTGTTCCACGCCGTGATGTTGCTGGAATATTGCTTAAAGCGGCGTAAAACTAAACTCACTCACCCTTCAACTAATGCATGTTCAAAGCATAGCCAAACCCAACCAAACATTCATAAATGTTGTTTTTTTAGATAAGTTACGGTTTACGCCACCTTTGCCAACAAACCGGCAAAAACAGGTCATACAACAAAAATGCAGCACACGTTGTACCCACATGTGGAGTCGAACTCGGGTCGCAGGCGTGACGAGAAATACTTGAACCACTGGGCTAACCCGGCACCCCCTTAGTCTGGAAAGGTGTTTTATCTGTTCTAACCTGGCTTTATCTTTTCACAGTCTACGCCTTCTCAAACGTGGCGCTATACAAGCCAGCCAGCATGGATTCTTTCCGGGATATCTACCCACCATCTGCAGCTGTGGATGGAGACAGCACTACTGCCATCCACACTGATACAGTGTCAGTCCCCTTTCACTGGTGGGAAGTGGATCTACTCAACTCCTACACCATCACCACCGTCACTGTCACCAGCAGAGATTGCTGCCGTAAGTTTGCAGAGTTAGTGAGTCATCTCGACTCCCGTGACGATCGGGTTAGAATTGGTATTCAGAAGTCTATAGAAGCGACTAGAGGGATCGGGTGGTCGGGCTGGTTGACTTGGTTGACACATGTCATCCTATCACAATTACATGGTCCCTAGCATGGTGATCAGCCTTCAGTTGCTGGTGATCTATAGCTCATTTTACATTGTATTGTCCAAAAATAGTTTTCTACTTTTAAAGATATATGCTAGCTAGTTTTAACTCATTTTGTGATAATCTAGTAATTTACTGTCCTTCGTTGACAGGGTTATATATATTATATGTATGTATTATGAACTAGTTTTAGTCACGATATGGCTGAAATATTGCCGATGTGACATTATATTTTAACTCACTCACTATCACAATTAAAAAATAAAAGCGTAGATCGATGCTCATGTTTTTGATCATTGGATTGTCTGATCCAGACTCGATTATTATTACTGACCGCCGTCATATAGCTGGAATATTGCTGAGTGTGGCGACAAACAGCCAAACAACCAAACAAGCAAACAAATAGCATAGTTGATGGCCTATAGCCCGTTTTTTTTAATATATAAATTGCATTGTTAGGGTCCATGCAGGTAGTAAATGTACTGTGGGTCCCCATGGTCCCTTGATTGGTGATCAAGGGATCACGTTTTACGCTGCACACAGCAATATACCAGCAATATGGCGGCGGTCTGTATATAATTGCGTCTGGACCAGACAATCCAATGATCAACAGCATGGGCATCGATCTACGCAACTGGGAACCGATAATATGTGTCAACCAAGTCAGCGAGCCTGATCACCCGATCCCGTTAGTCGCCTCTTACGACACGCATGGGTTGCTGAAGATCAATTCTAACCCGGATCTTCACGGGTAGTATGGTGATCAACTGAAGACAATCTATTTTCTGTTTTTATATTGTATTATCCTGAAGTTAAGATTTACATGCTATTTTTAAATCTATATCTGTAAAGAATTGGTCTTCAGCAACCAATGCTCGTCGTAAGATGCGACTAAGACCTGGATCACATTTGCCACGTGCGCCGTACGGTAAAGTAGCCTACGATTTTCCGTACGACATTTTAGGAATCGTGGGTGACCGTTGGCTACGACGTCTGTGTTCACATTGTCTTCGGGCATTGTGCGACTTCCTTGGGGACAGGCAGAGGCAAACCTGCATGGAGGCTGCGCAAAGTTGTACGGAGATCTTACGGAGAGGGTACGGAGATCGTGCGGTTTCCGTGCGGTCTCCGCAGCTACTGCACGGACATCGTATGGAGCCCGTGCGGCATCCGTGCGGAGGCTGAGCGGAGATCGGTTTACCATGTACATCTTGTTGTCTTGGACCTCTCTCATGAACTGAGACAAATGATAGAACTGGTAGGGATTTCTAATGTATATACCCATGGTAAAAATGATTGGTCCATCGCAAGTCTGTCTGTGCGAATTCACGCGCACCGTATGGAGGCCGCAGTGTGATCGTGCGGTAGCCGTGCGATGGCCGTGCGGATATCCCACGATCCTACGATCGCCGTACGATTTTTGGAACTAAAAAATCGTGCGGTGCCCGTGCAGTGCCCGTGCGATGCCACCTACGGGCTACGGGCTCACGACTTTTTCAAATTTGTCAAACTTCGCTGTTTGACAAAATCGTAGAGGCTACGGCGCCCGTAGAATCGTGCGATAATCGTACGACCATCGTCTGCCGCCGCACGGTGACCGCACAGAAATGGAGCTACGGGCAGTTTACGGGCGCCGAAGACCCATCGCAGGGCAAACGTGAACAAGGCATAACGGGATCGGGTGGTCAGACTCGCTGACTTGGTTGACACATGGCATCGTATCCCAATCGAGTAGAACGCTGTTCATTCTGTTGATCATTGGATTGTCTTGTCCATTCTAAATTTATTTACAGACAGCCTCCATATAACTTGAGTATTACTGAGTGCGGCATTTAAAACAAGCAACTAACCACAACTGAAACATTGCTCCCGAGTGAAACAATCAATCAAAAACGGATGCTTCAATTCTTTTTTTGTTGATTTGATCATTATCTGTTCTTCAGCTGGTCGATTCCGTAACTTCACAATTGATCTCACATCGGATCACCAAACCTCAGCTCCAGTCACGCAACTTTGTCACTACTACCCGGGGAGTTTCGCCAGATTCGTCACCAGCACAATAGCATGTGATGAGACATTAACAGCACGAAAGGTCAAGGTCACTATGGATTCATCGGATGATCGACCTCTTGATATAAATGAGGTCAAGGTCAAAGGTCTTCACGTGTGTGGAAGTAAGGTTCTGGAGGATGCAAAAACACATGTCACGTACTTATGATCAAGAGACCCTCTTCTTATGTATACACAACTTCTTTGTGGCAAAAATTGTAATAGATGCGACCCTTACCAAACAGGATATTTTTACTTGCTTGATCATGGTGTTAGGATCTACACCGGAACGTCGCATCTATTGCAATGAAGAAGTTGTTGATCCATAAAAGGACGGTCCATGGTTAAAACAGCTGGACGTATATACTTGCAGTGTCACAGTAGAGTGAGTGAGTTGGGTTTTACGCCGCTTTTAGCAATATTACAGCAATATCACGGCGGCGGACACCAGAAATGGGCTTCACATATTGCACCCATTTAGGGAATCGAACCCGGTGCCTTCGGCGTGACAAGCGAACGCTTTAACCACAAGGCTACCCCACCACCCCCGTCTCAATAGAATAATCATATGCTCATGAACACTGCTGTAGGATGTAGATACACTATTGCATCCTCAGTACCGTAAACAGTTCCCACCGAATGTGTACACTACGTTCTCCATTCCCCCAAGATCACATACTGTGGCATTGCTATATAGTTGCTATGTTAACCAACAAATCCAGGCACGGATTGCTTCCTGAGGGCGTGCAACCCTTGAGTGCCAATGGACAAACACTTTATTTTTCATGGAACACGTGATACAGTGTTTTCTGAAATATCTGTCAAATTCAGGTAACGATGGACTTTGCTCAACGTTCAGTTGATTTCCATGAGACGACACAATGTATACACGGTTTCATGTCGATACCTTACAATATACATGGCATCATAGAGGCTGTATGTATTCAATGGTGTATGAGGACAAAGTAAATGCAAATTCGTGCATATTTACTATATATTGTTTAGGGATCGTTCATAATTTAAGGCTGGGGTGGGGATGGGGTGGGGATGGGGTGGTGGGTCCACCCATTTTAAGGGGGCTCACCCATTTTGTTCTGGGGAGGACATCAATTTCGTACTAGGGTATGGTGGAGGGGTCAGCAAAAGTTATACCTAAACAATTTGGGAAGGGGGTCATTGGTTTTGTACATGACATGCAGGGGGAAGGGGGGCACTTACTTTGTACATAGATCTCAGGTGGGTGGCATTCACATTGTACATGCCACTCCATAAAAATCACAATCATCCACCCACATACCCACACACAGGCACGCACGCGCACACACACACACACACAGACACACCCGGCCATGAAATAAATTATATACGGTCCCTTAGGAATACAGATATACTACAAATACGTATTTTTGTGTAATTTCTATTTCTAAACTCCAGATTACTGGCTACAATTTACACTCAATGCCGGAGTGAAACGTTCAGAGTCCCCGCTTCTTCAGACGGATGTTGAATCCAGACAAGCATGTTCCCATCGTTGCCGAGAAAACATAGCTTGTGACGCCTTCCAGACTTTGACGTCATCTAGTAGTGTGACGTGTCAGCTCTTTACTGGTAGATCCGGTGCCACCATCAGTGACAGTAACTGGAAGTACTACAGCTTTTCAGGATGAGTTGAGTGAGTGAGTTTGGTTTTACGCCGCTTTTAGCAATATTCCAGCTATATCACGGCGGGGGACACCAGAAACGGGCTTCACACATTGTACCCATATGGGGAATCGAACCCGGGTCTTCGGCGTGACGAGCGAACGCTTTAACCACTAGGCTACCCCACCGCCCCGCCTCTTTAATGAAAGAAAAGAGCTCAGGTATGTTGCTGGGAAACCTTCAAAGACGTAGGAAGAGTTCAAAGATGAGTCACTATTTGAAGTTATGACACTGAGGAGTTGGACACAAGGAATGTGGACATACATCATGAAAAGTGTTGTCCAAATCATGTGATAGTCTTCAATCTGTATCTATTAACTGGACAGGAATGGACATTGATGTAAAACTTGTGGTATTGTCCCTTTATTCTTTATGGCCAACAGGATATGCGTTATTTAATATAATGGGAAACCGTTATGCAGTCATCATGTTACTACGTATCAGGCTAGTGTGGCTTGTGGGGCGGTGGGGTAGCTTAGTGGTTAAAGCGTCCACTCGTCACGCCGAAGACAAGGATTCGATTTCCCACATGGATACAATGTGTGAAGCCCATTTCTAGTGTCCCCAGCCATTTTGACCCTTGAGTGATTTAGATATAGCAACAATGAATACATGCGTTTGGTGAAACAGACTGCATGATTTTAGAGGCTCTTCAGGATGTATGTCTCTACTTTCACCTTGACCCATGTGTTGAAGATTAAAAAAAAAGGACGCCGTAAAACATGCTGTTAGTGACAGACTAGCTCATGGATCTCATGAATGTAGACTATTTGGCTTACTTTGTGAATTTTCAATCATGAATGTAAAAATATTCCCAAACTCCAAACTTTATCTGAAGAAAACAGGCTAGTTGTAAACATGTCAGATATTTTCCTCTCCAGGTGACAAATATGGCTCTCATCCTTTTTTTCCCGTTTTCTGATGATATCCTAATATTTTCATTTTTTTCCCATGTACATCAGTTTTTAGACGTGTAATAAAAATTGTGTATAACTTTTGTAGTTTATTAGTTTTGTTTATTAGATCCCGTGAAATTCAGGACAACCTCATGAATGTGGTCCCGACAGTATTCGGTGCTCAGCTTCAACCACTGTGATGTGACGGGTGATCTTTAGGTGAACCGTTGCTCATGCTTTCAATCACATGTTTGCTGGATCCAAACTTGATTTCGTAGCTGAAACTTTTTGACTGCTGCATTAAACAGCATCCACATTTCTCTCTTACTCTATGAGGAGCTTTAATGTGTTCTTACACAATAGGTGAGGTGAAATTGGGTTTAACGTCGTGCTTGAGAATATTTCGCTCATATGACGACGTGCATGCGTATGTGTATGTGCGGCTGCTTGTACTAGCCCAGACTTAAGCTGGTTTTATAGTGCTAGCCCACTGAGATACCATGCCGCAGTGAAGCATGAATACCCCACTCAGACACATTATACTGACTCCGAGCCGACCAGTCCTTGTTGTACCCATTAATGCCGAGCGCCAGGCAGGGACCAACAAGTACTATATTTTAACGTCTTTTGGTTTGACGCGGTCAGGGATCGAACCCGCAACCTTCCGCTATCCGGGCGGACGCTCTAACCACTACACCACGGAGGCGGTCCTCTTACTCAATAAAGTATAATCGTAATGTGTTGTACTGTGTTGACTTTCAACCCAGTTTATCACTAACATCAGTATTTGAAGATATACTCAGACTTTTGATCATGTATATGATCATATTTTTAAGTTTTTCACAGAACTAGCCACAGGTTAACCTGTGGTCTGGGGCACGCAGACATAAACGTCGATATATCAAGAACTGCATGACATGGGTTCGAATCCCAGTATCTTCTTCCGGTAACGTTGTACCATTGAGCTTCGGAATCAGTTTGTCCTGGTATGAATACGCCATACAAAAACACTTTGGCAATCGATGACTCACAAATCCAGTTTTCATTTATGTTTCATTTATGTTTTTCAAACTTTTTTACTGAAGAAAAGAGAAGCACAGCCTCGTGATGGTCCAGAACATTAACAACGTTCAATCAATGTTTATGTTCACAACGACCATAAAATATACTAGGCACATAAAGAAACTGTGCATACAAAAATTTAAAATCTAAATTTATCAAACCTGTGTAGACACATAAGGATTTAAACTCAGAGATAAGTGACATGTATCCAACATGCATGCACGTGCCACGTTCCGTGACGTCAGTGGGTTCGTCCTTGAGACGTGCAATACGTTGTTGCACGTGCATTCCGGGAAAGAGAAACAGAGCAAATGAATGCCACACAATACCGTCACTTTGGAAAGCTCAACCCCTGCCCTTGCGATCGTTCAAAAAATTATACGGCTATTGAAACGCATAGCATGCCAAGGCTCACGTCTGCACAACGTCATGAGGCCATTGCGATGGTCCGTGGAGGAATGTCTCAACGACAAGTGGCTGCACATTTCCACTGCCACCGGAACACCATTTCTGCACTTTTGAGACGCTACCAGAACACACATGACGTCATCGATCGGCCACGTTCTGGACGTCCACGTGTAACAACGCCAAGACAGGACATATAGATAAGGGTGACCCATCTTCGCCACAGGTTTCAGACTGCAGTGATGACTTCCCGAACCATCCCAGGACTTCGCCGTATCCACCCGAACACAGTTCGACAACGTTTACGTCATCACGGGATCAGACCACGACATCCCGCCATAGTGCCTTTCTGACACAACGTCATCGACAAGCTCGCCGAATGTGGTGCCGAAATCATGTCCGCAGACCCTTGTTTTGGTGGAGAAATGTTGTTTTTACAGATGAGTCCAGGTTTAACATTTCCCATAGTGATGGACGTCAACGTGCCTATAGACGCGTGGGATAACGTTATGCACAGGCCTGTGTCTTGGAGAGGAATCGCTTTGGTGGTGGTTCCGTGATGATTTGGGGTGGAATAACAGCACGCCAAAGAACTCCTTTGGTGATTGTTCAGGGCAACTTAACTGGTGTGGGCTACAGGGATCAGATTCTTCGACCTGTGGCAATTCCTTTTCTGCAACGTCATGGCCCTGGGTTAACATTCCAACAGGACAATGCCCGCCCTCATACGGCAAGGCTTGCTATGGATTTCTTGCAACACCACAACGTTGACTTACTGCCTTGGCCTGCAAATTCACCGGATCTCTCCCCGATAGAGCATGTTTGGGACGAGATGGCTCGACGTCTACGCCGTCTTCCTCATCCGCCAGATAACGTCCTTGACCTTGCAACAGAACTTGAGAGAATCTGGCGCGACATCCCACAAGCCGTCCTTGCACGTTTGATAGGCTCTATGCGTCGTCGATACACTGCTGTTCTCAATGCCGATGGTGGACATACCCGTTATTGAGCTCGTGACATGCTCGTTTGACCCCTGTCCCGCTTGCGGACTCGTGACGTCATTGTGATTGACTTTTCAATTGAAATTCTCCCGACTTGTTATGGTCTCATGATCCCTCCATTTAAGTTTATATGTACCTTTGACATTGTTATCGTACTTATCAACTGGGATAATATTTTGACAATGCACAGTTTCTTTATGTGGCTAGTATATGTAGATCTTCCCATCATCCACCCGCAACACACCTTACATGATCGCCTGGGTGTCGTTGTACAAAGCAACCTATGTTAAGTTATGGGAGTTACGATCACCTTAGCGCTAAAAACGCTTTGTACAACGGCACCCAGTGCAATATATCTAGTGAGTGAGTATGTTTTATGCCCCTTTTACCAATATTCCAGCTTCTCACATTGTACCCATGTGGCATCCTGCTGACGTTGTAATGTGAATGTTTCAACCAGGTTTGGGGGTGCATTTTATAGGGCTGATCCTTGTGAACAGCACGTGCAGCATGAGTTGCATGAAAAACATGGAGAACACCGTACCATCTCCGAGATCAGGTTGCGTTTTTGAGACCATTTCCTGGGTTCCATCCTGAGTTTGGGAAGGAATGTCTTTGCTAAGGTAAAGTTGGAGATGTTGTCAAAAATATACAATCAAAACATCAAATGAGTTTACAGTTATCCGTTTCTGCGAAGGAAATTTCCAAACTGACGTTTCTTTTGCTTCTTAGTATACTTGCAGTGTCACAGTAGAGTGAGTGAGTTGGGTTTTACGCTGCCCATGTGGGGAATCGAACCCGGGTCTTCGGAGTGACGAGCGAACGCTTTAACCACTAGGCTACCCCACCGCCCCATATATCTAGTGACACCGAATAAAAGTGACAACCAACGTGAAGTCTACTAGTAAGATATATATAACATGTTTATGCTGGAGATTCGGTAAAACAATGTCATGTCTGTGGAGATGCTTTACACGCACTTTATTCATTGAACTGCATCATATCATATCAATAAAGTATGAATTAATACATAGTTGTCTTTTCCTTTGTAGCTAGGGGCGTTGGGGTAGCCTATAGTGGTTAAAGCGTTCGCTCGTTACGCCGAAGGCCCGGGTTCGATTCCCCACATGGGTACAATGTTTGGACCCTATTCCGGAGTCACCCGCCGTGATATTGCTGGAACATTGCTAAAAGTGGCGTAAAACTCAACACACTCACTCCTTTGTATCTTATTTTGGCCTTTCAAGGTGTTGGAAATCTTTATGTAGTGCTCTCATCGGGCCTTCGTCTGTCAGTCAATATTCACTAGTCACAGCTGAATGAACTGATTTGCAGTAGACTCTACCGTTTAAACCGAACTGACGAGTTTTTCATACAAAATGATGATTGATAGTTTCCCAGACAGATATCGTCTGCTTGTGGTTTAACGCGGCAATCATCAATATTCCAGCTATATGGCGGCGGTCTGAAAATATTCGAGTCTGGACCAGACAATACAGTAATCAACAGCATGAACATCGATCTACATTGTGATACGATGACATGTCAATGGTGTCAGCGAGCCCAACCACCCGATTCTATTTGTCGCTTCTTGCTCTAACCTGGATCTGCACGGGTCGAAAGTAATACGTATGTTGTGTGATTGAAGGGAAAC